ACACAACAGAACTATAAACCCAGCTGACTGCACTACCTTATTTTCCTGGTGGGAAAGACAATACAGTACCTTCTTCCTCCTTAATGACACCTTTAACAGTGACAGACATACATTGCCATCACCTTTTTTGAAAACGTTTAGGCACCTTAAAATACTAACGAGAACTGGATTGCTCTCAGTTGGCTGCAAGCATACGCAGAGCCTTTCTGCAGGCCACCATGTCCTGCAGGCCACATGGAGTGACTCTGACAACATCCATGAGGACCGCCAGAGTTGTACCATCTCCTTGGAAGTTGAAGGGAAGTGATGCCTGGAGAGCAGGTAAGCAATGGAGAATGGGTTCCCTTCTTCTTTTCCTGGCCTCTTCCAGGTTAGCTACCTGGAAGCAGAGCTAAACCTGGTCCTCCATCCCAGCTGGGGTCACATGGAGGGTCCACAGAGCACCCTTGCACTGGCCATGCTGGGGAGCGGGGTGAGCGGAAACCTGCAGGCACGTTCCCCACGATGGCTGCAAGGGAGAGCCTGGCCATAACAGTTCCTCTCTGGGGACGTGCGCAGTGACCCTAGCACCCGTAGCATGACCTGCCTAATGGCCAAAAGACTAATATCTGCTGTGTCTGATCCCCAGCTCCTGTCTCAAAGGGCTGAAATCCAATTCACCTCAAACCATCTGGAGCTCATCTCCAAATGAATAATTCCTTCAAGTCTTGTTTAATCCCTCTGCAAACGGCTCCACTCTTTGGCCTGCCATGACATGAATCCCCTCTGATGGCCCTAGAGCAGGTCAGCATGCATGTCCTGAGTGGGTGTGTGGTGGGACAGCTAATTGCTAGTGACCTGAGGCATCTACCCCTGTCCTGGAAGAGGAATGGCATGAAGGCTCAACTCCACTTGCTGTGAGCTTCCACCGTGACAACCTTTGACAAAGAAGATGTGTGCCACAGAAGCCCAGAGGTTGCACAAGGAGCACCTCTGATAACTGTCATTACCTCCCGTTTTCTGCCCATCTATAGAACTACATGGGGAATAATTCTCATCTCCTGCAAGGAAGAGATAAAGTGGATGCTGAGCCAGAAATCCAGTTTCAATACCCTTCACAAAGTAGCTCTTCCGTCTTTTGGAGTATTATATTTAAATAAGAAAGGAACTTGAAGAACAGCATAAGCATAACATTACGTATGATGGTTCAAGTTTGTAAGTATTATTAAAGAATACTGGGGTGTCAACATGATCCATAGTATAACATCAATGAATGGTAAGAAAGGAGAGGAGAAACAATTTTTATAAAGCACAAATATCTCTCTCCACAGTGGTAAAAAAAGGTTCAGTAGTCACTGCTGCATCTCCTCATGCATGTGCTTTGTTTGTAAACCTTACTGCAAAATCTCTGTGTGGTAACAGCATGCATGTTTCACAGGTGACCAAGATTTTGTTCAGCAGAAAGATTCAGACCATGAATACCCTTTAGCCCTGAAGTCTTCCAATATATTGAAAGAAAGAATCGTGACTGCACACCTGATCCTGCAGTACCACCACTAGCCCTTGAATTGCCTCACCTCTAACCTTTGCATCACACAATGACTTTGTATTTCATAAAAACATAATCAAAGCCAAGCATTCAGACAGCATGATCAGTGTTGCTGGATCCTGTAGGTGCTACAGATCTGCAGATCAGCCTGTAATGATGACAAGAGTCTGTGTGTGTGTCTGTTAATTTAATAACAGAGGCAATAACACTATTACAGTGCTCTCTATACAAGACAACCCTCTCCTCACTACCCTTAGCCACTGCTAAACCCTGCACAGGGTCTGATTGATGACTTTGGGCTGCAACACCGCAGGACGCTGAGGGGGCAAGGGAAGCCAGCAGGCAAGATGCTCAGTGCCTCTTTCAGCTCCTGACTTGCAGTACAGCCTTCCTTACATTTTTTTCAGCTGGCTATGTCTGCTCCCACAGCTGCTCTGCTGGTCTAGATGGGGGAAGAAAAGCAAGCTCTGGTCCTGCCCATTACCCTACTCTTGGCCATGGGAATAAGCTGTGCCTGTCTTCATGCCACCAGCAAAGGTGCCAACAATCTTTATGTAGCCAGACCCGGAGAGGAAAATGTATGGCCCAGATCCACGACAGTACCTGCCTCTCAGTCACTCCAGCAGGACATAACACATCCCAAAACCTTTGCCAATTTAGTTTTAATTCTTCCCTCTTCCCTTGCACAAAAGCACTATAAGCTAAAGCATTAGATTTCCATCAGATACAAGGTGCAGACAAAATTTTGAGGACAGAAAATTCTAGTGATTACTTCTGTTCATGACTTTCCTTCTCCCCACCATGTCACTCTCTGCTTTGTAGTTTTCACTTCTTTTCAGCATAATAGAGAAAACTAGAGAAAGTAATTCCCTCGGCACATGCTGTCCTTCCTTCTCAGCCCCAGCAAGCACCACCAGATCAGTCTTCTGAAACCACAGGTAAAAAACCCATCATCCCTGGCAGCCTCTGCACTGCTCTGGAGTGTGTCTCCCTTCAAAAGCCCACTGCCAGCCGTGCTCCAGTGAGCTGGCAGCTGCCCAGCTGCTGGGAAGGGGGATTTGGGAAACATATTCCAGGGAACAGCTCAAACTTCATCCTCTCATGTACTTCCACAGCTGTCCTCCCCGAAACCACTAGACCTCCATTGATGTTTGTACAACCACTTAAAAACACAGTTTGGGGGATCGAGGAGGGTTCTTGCTATTGTTGCTTGGCCTCAGTATGGAAGGTGGGCAAGCAAGGGCCACAGCCCAGAGGACACTGCTTGCACCTCCTTGGAAAGGGGCGATGCTGCCCCATCCACACTGGCCAAGTACGCAGAGTTTAGCTGTGTCTGCAGGAACTGCCTTTCAGATCGTTTTTTTTTTTTAACTGGACCCGTTGGCACAGTTTAGCTGCCAGCATCGATAGATACAGTAGAGCTCTTCTGTGCTGCCTACGACATAACGGGGGCTGGCAGCCTCCCCAAAACACAGCTGTGCCTGGAGATTTCCTCACTGGCTGCAGTGCCCCTGAGTCAGAACAGAGGTGGAGAAGCAGCAGCAGCTCCACCATGTGCTCCTCTCACATGGAATAGTCCCTCCTGCATTCATGTCCACCCCGCTCCCCTGCTCCTGCCAGGGCTTACTCCAGTCTAATTGCAGATGTGCCCAAAGTTCCCTGCAGTGATTTGTTTCTTCTCCTAAACTATTCAGTAAACTTTGCAGAACGTAAACCAGGTAGGACATCTTGCCTGGGGCCAGACACCAGCAATGCAGAGATTCAGAGAAAGCAAAGCTAAAGGGTGCTGTCACTACACCACTTCAACAGGGGACCAGTGTCTCTCCCCCCTCCTACCACACATCCAAAACGTGCAACGCAGTAAGCAAGCACTGTGCAGCCTGAACAGAGCGGCTACAGTTTACGCTATAGTGCCTCATCTGTTCTTTGCACCAGCTGTTCCTGGATGGAGGTGCCATTGAATTGTTTCTCTCTTCCTCTGATGCTCTGGAAGAAAGACAGAGGGTATTTTTTTTTTTTTTTAATCTCAGCTTTTTAGCAAAGGGAACAGGGCTGGATTGTTTTGTACTGGCACTTGCTACCTTCTCATCCCGTGCCCTTCTTGCTGCGCAAGCACAGTACAAGACATTAAACACTGAAATAATATTTAAGTTTGCAGCTGGACTCGTTACTGCTGTAATTTAGAAGGTATAACCAGTCATCAGCATTTCAAGATACATTCAATTTTCAATAAAGAGGCAATTTCCACAGGGCAATGACCATAAATGAATGACAGTCTACCCAAGAAGAATGAACAAAGCTGCCAGTCTGTCAAGAATTTGCCTGATGTGTCATCCCAGTTTAATTAAGGGAAAAAATTTACTGAAAGAGACAGGAGAGCAAGTCAACTCTCCTATAAAGGTGCCTCCTTTCCTTTGTGCATTAAAAATAATCTCCCTTTATTTTGAATTACTGATTTTGCAGTTTGTGGCAAATCATTCTCCAGAATTAAATAGATGGCTGAAAAATACGAGCCAAATTCATCCTTTATGCACTGGACAAATTTGACTCTAGGTGATTTATGGGTCTTGCAAACCCACCTCAGTGCATCAGCTGAATAGTTCCTGCAGATTTTGTGCCCTACAGATGCTGAGCCGACCCCAGCTACAGGCAATGCTCAGCGTTCCGGTGACCAGCCATGGTGGCCATGCTTCGCTCCTCCTGCCAACCAGCACTGCCCTTCCCAGCCTTGTGCTGCGCCTCTGAAGGCACCCAGCAAGCCGTGCCCCAGAGCCCGCCAGACAACATCTCCTAGCCAAATCCAGTTTCTTCCACTTCTGCAGTTTCAGTGGAAGCGCAAAAAGCTTTCGGAGTCTTTGGAGAAGTGCTTCAATCTGAATAAACTTTTCTATCAGAGGGCTAACGTCTCAGCACGTCATGGGATGCAAGACAGCTCCATGGACATTGCCAGCTAAGAACCTGTATGGTATTATAGCCAAAATAATCTGTTTCCACTGACTGAATGACCTGACCAAAGGCTAAATGTACAATGAAAAGGTATTATATTTAAATCCAAATATTACTATATAGTTCTGGAAATCTACATACAGTAGCACCATGTTTACATGGAAAAGTGAGAAAGCTAAGACTGCTTATAAAACAAAAGTTGTGCTGTCTTGAGTACATGTTTTGTCAAAGATGAGTGAAGTCAGAAGAAACAATAAAACCAGTGCATTTTTCAAGAACATTGATTTCAGGGGGGTAGTTTTCTTCAGTTTAATAATCAAAGATACCACAACACATATAAATAAACCGGGAACTGTGAGCTGTAGTTTTAACCTGGCAATGTTCCGCAAGGCAAATATATCTAAGAGCATTTATCTCTTCTCAGAGCAGATATGTAAAAGCATTAGCCTCCGTCATGCTGTTGTCCATTATCAGGTCTACATGCAGGCCCAGAAAGACTATGTAGTACATGTATAAATATACATACCCGACTTGGGTACAGTCTCGATATGGCAGCACTGAAAATATGCTACAGAAGGATCTTCTGCTGCTGATAAGGACTATTCTAAAATATAAAAGAAAATAAAAGAAATCAAAGACTAAAATTTAAAAAATCCCACCACAATAAGCAAAGCAAGAGATGTTACTGTTGAGGAATTCGTAATCATAAAACTTCCATCACGGATGACTTCTCCCTCCTCTTTTTTATCTCACAGGTAGGGTATTGTGCTACTGAGTCTTTACAAGAAGTGCCAAAGCCTGTGCCATACATTACATAGTGAATGAGTAGTGGAGCCCCATCCCCTCTGCAGGCTTTCTAGGAAGACTATCTTGAATACATTACTTGGAATCCAGGGTAGATGTTTTTCTAGTGAAAGCAGTCCTAGCGAAAGGAGTCCACCCAGAGAGGCGAGGAGCCATTCTGACAACTCACCACTATGGCCGAAACTAAACAGACAAACCCAGCAGCAACCCAGGTGATACACACCAACCACCACCTGTGATGCACACAACTCTGTGGCTGACTTGGAGTCTGCATTTATCAGACAAGAATTTCCAGCTGCTGGTCATGACCTTCCTCTGCTAAACCAAAGGACTCCTTCGATTTTCAGCTTCCTGTTCCTGAAATACCCCGATTCATGGATAAAGTCAAACTTCGCTATTATCACAAGCTTTCAGATCCTCTCATTGTTTTCCAGATTCTTCCTTGAGTCTTCTCCAGTTTTCCCCCATCACCTTTCTTGGTCTCTAGGCAGCATCACTGGCCTCAGCAATTGCATGGAAGGCAGATACATACATCACATCTTTACGTTTTATCTTTAAGCTCAGCGTCTAGCCGTGATGATCTGCCAGCCTCTGTGCTCAGAAATCACATCGGCCTTCTTGGTTATGATGCTGCATTGACACTCAGGCATGACTGATCCTACAGCTCTTCACCCCTTCTCCTCCAGCGCCACGTCTATCTCAGTCACTAACTGTCAGGGCTGAATCCCTCCTCTAAGCATGGCTTGCCTTCATTCCTCACAGGCAGGTAGCTCAAGATTTGGTTACATGAAAGCATACACTATCTGCCTGCACAGAACTTATCTCAGAATCCAGGGCACTCTTACAGCAAACGCCTTGTGTTTTTAATCAGTCTCCCAACCTCTGCTTGATCTGCAAAGTCACTTTGTGGCATTAAATCAAATATCTGTTTTAAATCAAACCTATCTGTTTTACAGCCACACTACTACCTTTTAGCCATCAAGCTCTGACGTACCATTAAGCAACATCAAAACCACCTTGAGGCCAAGACCCACTTTCCATAAAACTGCATGGACTGCCAGTAACCACATTATTATAGCTTTGGGAGACACAGATTGGCAAGAAGCCAATAGAAGCTTGATCAAGACGTAAGATATAAAATGCCAATAAATAACGGTTTATAAATATACCTTATTTCCTTATTACCTTCAGGACATCGACAATTGTACAAATGTACAATGTACACTAAAAAGACCTTTCTTCCCTCTAAAGTTGGCCAACGGGCTGCATCCCCTCAAATTCCTCTAAGACACGGTGATGGCAATTTGTGCCAACTTCTAATCTGATTCGTGTTAGAATTTACTGATCTTTTACCTTTCTAAAAATCTCCAGTTGTGGTCCACATGCTAGGACCTACTGCTAGGTTGGTTGTCAGGGCTACTGCACTTCCTTGGTCTGCTTTCCAACACTGATTTTTCTGATGTGTGCCACAGATCCGTACGTGATGATTTCGCCCAAGTTTTTCATATTTTGTCCTACACTGGTTGAAGTTGGACAACAAACCCTCGCAAGCTATTTTGTTCACTGTCCAAAAACTACCACATGCACCTATAAACCTCGTAGCAGTTATGCTGTTATTAAAACACTATTTCCTTAAGGGACCAGCTTAGTCATCGTTCTTGGAAAAGGTTTAGATCCCCAAGAGAGCTGCTGCATGTAATGCTTGGAAAAATGCAGAATGTTCAATTTTTCTTCTCCCAGATCATTCTGTTATAGCAATCCTATTTTCTTGCTTAAAAGCATGTTTAAAAGCAAAGTGGTATTTAACCTTCAATAAAATAGGGTTTCTAATAATAAATGTGCATACGGCATCAGGAAGTTCTCCTGCAGCAGATAAAAGTATGATTTCATTGTTTGCCTGAATGCTACAGCATCCCCTACCTATGGGTAAATACCTCAGATCCTACAAGATGGACTCGTGGTGCAGCAGTAAGTTATAGAGCAGGGGGGAATAATTTTTCACATTTGAGAAAGGCAATCCACAAACAAAAAAACCCAGCATATGATTAATTTTGTGCTTGCCACTGCTTATGGCTGAATGGTTGCTCCTCACAACAGCTTGCTTGTTCACTGGAAGCCTTGTTTGCTGATGTATGAAACTTGGCACGGATTGCGAGGCTGACATCAGAAAGTATCTTTGAATTCGGAAAACCACGGTACCCACTAAGCATATTCCCCCCGCTCCCTCTGGTTGCTTCTGGAAACACAGCTCTTCCACCAATGCCCTACACCTCCCTGAAAAAAAAAACCCCAGCTCTTAATACTTGAAGAAAAACAAACTGGTGCTTCCATGTCCACAAGCAAAGACAACAGCGGGAAGTTACCGCAGAAATCTTGCTGTGTGTATCAGAAGGAATCCGACCAGAAAGGAAATAAAAAGCACCAGCCCAGCCTGTAGTTTTTTCAGATTTCTTTCCCTTGGGACCCAAGTATTGCCTCTCTTTCCATAATTCGGGAGACTATCTTTATACAAAGATCTCCCAGGCAGAGCAGCAGAGAAGCCCATGGCCTCCACTGCTGGGATGCCACAAAACCTCATCCGCAGAGCTGCTGCAGGGGGCTGGTGCAAAACAGCCTTAAGAGCTGGAATGAAAGAGAAGCAGGGAAGGCAGTGGTCAGCAGCTCATCATGGAGGGATAAAATGGCATTTTATTTAGAGGTCTGATGATATGCATGGAAAAGAAAAAATTCTAAGGGCCTGCAATGGTTTGCTGGAGCAGAAAGTCCAGGCACTTCTCACAAAGTATGTTTTGGAGAAGAAGGTGTGGTGGAAGCCTGTTGCTGCTCAAGAAAATCAAATTACTGTTTATGGGAGAAAAGCATTTTCCTGGATTTCACCCCTTCAGCAAAGGGTGTCTTACGATCCTGCGCAGCTCTGAATGAGCTATCTCCGACATCAGAAGCAGCCTGAGTCAGAGTGGGTTTACGTGCCCTACTGCCATTGTGCCACCTAGACATGTTTAAAATTACTTCATGAAAAGGTTTTCACTCTCTAATTCTCACATTTCACCAAGAAGTTGTACTAATTACTATGGTTCAGAGCAACCATTATTTGGCAGGAGAGCTCCGACAATGTGCAACTGTCTGAGACTGTAAAAGCTAATCTTCCAATTTCTTTAATGAGGTGTACGCTATGAAACTACAAAAACTTACTGAGCACAAGGCTCTCAACAGAATCAGCAATTCGCTTGACTTGAAGAAAAATAATGTCTGTTTTCTTCAGTGTCTGTCTACGTTTGATTGTGTTGCAGCAAAAGGCTCCCATCAGGCAACAGGATACACGTCATATGTACCATATACATGCAGAATACTGTCGCCTCTTTTCTCATGCCTTATTGATGATGTTTGACAACTGGGGCTTTGCTGTGCTGCACACAAAGGTCAACACACAAACCACGGATGCTGTCTGGGTAGCAGCCATCATTTTGGAGTCTCCCAAGTTCACGTCGGGGAAGGTGGCTGAGAGTAATTATGAACTGGGAGGACGCTGTGAATAGTCAACCTCTTTGAGTGCACGTGTTTGCCTTTCCACAATTAAAAGGGCAGCCAAAGAGACCTTTCATAGCCTGTGGGTGCTGTCTGGCCTTGGCTTAGATCTGTATGCTAACAAAAAAATTGAGAAAGCAATGGCATGGGGGTGGGAGAGAAGCATTGTTTTACTGCTTTTATATCCGCTATATAGAATGACTCTAGAAATGTTCTTGTCCGATTCTCACCATGAATTGTTTGTTCAGCTGGCTCAGGTTGCCGTTTCGGTGGTCTGTTTCTGCTAGATAGGAAATCTCATGCTTCACAGTTTATGGAACCAATAAACCTGCTGAGTAAAGTGGGTGAAACCACACGCTGGGGGCAACCTGCGCTAATTTGTATGTTAGGGTTAACTTGCCTTTGTCTTTTAATGGGAAAATTTATTTTGTGCTATTTTACAAGACTGCTTTGATAATAAAGTCTAGGAAAACTAATTTTCCAGCTCCTTTAATAAGCCACGTCCTACAAATCCAAAGAAACCGGTTTAACCAGTGCACGGAACCATCAACAGGAAGCTTTACAAGGACTGGCTGATAAGCTGCGGTCTGGTTTTTCTCTGTGCTGAAACAGCTGAACTTAACCACAGCCGGTCCTGCCTTGCCACTGGACTAAGGCACCCAGAGCATCGTTGCTCAGCGCGTGCCATCCCCGGGGCTGAGAGGGGAAGAGCTCTCAGTGCCACGGTACAAGGACACCTCACTTCACGGGTTGAGTGCCATAAATAAGGGCAGTTAGCAGAGAAATGAGCCCCAGGTGATCATCCACACTGCAGTTTTCTTTGCTGTGACACTCACAGTCACAAGCCAGCGAAACAATTACTGAAAGCGCTAGCTATTTTAAAGCCCAGCTATTAATTCACTGCTCAAAAATATATTCTGTGTAGATGTTTTCAAAGCTGTGTTCCTCAAGTTAAGTGAAAGGCTGTCATGCCACAACTGAAGGGTCAGGGGTTTTGGAGAGCTCGGAGAGCCCGACTCCAGCCCGGCTCAGGGTCTGTGTCCCACATGACCGTGCACAAGCTGCCTGGGATAAGGTCCCGGGCACGGGAAGGAGCCCCAGGAAGGTTTTCTATCCATCACAATACCTGTGCTCCTCCGTGCCACAGGGAACCAAGGAGGACACCTGCTTTTAAGGTACTCAGAAACTCTGTTATTTTAGGATGAACGCATATAAGCGGATCCACCCGACTTTCCCGAGGTCATTTTCATCCAGAATGCCTATTAACTTCGGTGACTGCAACAGCATCCAGACCCCTCGGAAAACCAGGGTATGCGCTCAGATTACTTACTGCTAGGCTTAGCTGCTGGCCTTAGGGGTGACACTAAGTGTTGACTTTGCATTTTATTTTTAGCTTAATATCGCTGTGGCTCTTTGTCCGTAGGACGAAAAGCATTTCCAAAACCGTGTCTCTTACTCTTACTGTCTCTGTATTCTAGATAAAGAGATCTTTATTATGATTATGGAAATATTCTGGAAAACTGTGTCTGCTGATAAAGATAAGAAGCCAGTTGAATTAGAGAAGCTTATTCACTGTTTTCTTAGCAAGAAAAATATTCAGTTATATTATCAGACGTAATGACTGATCTATGAATTAAGATAAAATGCGGCATATATCCTATAAATACTTTTTTGCAAAAGATGGAGAAAAGAGTTTACAAATCAAATATTTATTCACTTTTTCGCAGGTAACACTTCTACCAAGTTTATGCATATATTTTATATACACATCTCAGAAATTATTCTGTGGAATTTGCATAATACCTTATGAATAAGTATTTTTTGCTGTACGAAATTCCCAGAGCATGCATCTATTTATGCACAAAACTGACTAAAATTAGAGGGCTGCTTTTCAGCGTTTGATTCCACATGTATTTGTTGCAAAGACAATAAGCAGCTGCTAGTCAATTGTCAAGTCAACAGTTCTGCATGCGTCTGTTTGCTACAAAAGCTGTTTCTAAAAAGCTGTCGTCTCTCAGAGCCACCTTCTGCAATATATATGTTGATTACTACCTTTCACTGCATTTAATTGTACGTGTGAGAATAAATGCGAGGAAAATTTTGCTTGAGCCAAGTAACATCTACCAGAATTCAATTCATAAAGCCCGTGTTTCAATGTAATGTCAGAATTTCTATGCACAAATCGATCCACAGGAACATATGTGGTTCTCACCCACGGCAGTTTTATGAGAACAGCTACGTGCAAGGGTCAGCTCTCGGTGGGACAGTTTAGTCTATATGCAACCTGTTCAGGTAGCCTATTTCAAACCTATTCAGGTTTGGAAGGACAAGAGTAAAATCATAAGGCATATGGGGAAATTGCCTTGGGAAAAAAACAGGGAGGGCGGATGTCTTCTTCATAAGCAGGGAGGAGCTAGTTTCACCTCTGAGCTGGATGATACTGCAATAAAGGACCTATTCTGCTGATGGGAACACAAGGACAGGCACTGTGCCTTTGCAGTAAGGGAAGTCCTGGCCGACCACTGCTTTACAGGTCCCACCGGTGCCTATGGCTGCAATCCGGGCAGTGCACGTCCCAGCTCAGGGTGTGCGCCCCTCACACAGCCCCCGGGAACCCCTCTGCCTGCCTCTCCCCCAAAAACAAGGATCCCGCTCCTCACCTTACTACAACCACCCTCAGCTGCGCCTTTACCAACCAGCACTTTGTGTGCCCTAACAGATGTTGAAGCATCATTTAGCCGTCGGTAAACTTGTTCCAGGCAGGTTCTGCCCCGCGCCCCTCTGACACTTATCACCTGGCACTACCCTCAAAGAAATGCAACCAGATTATGCCTCAAGAGCACCACACGGATTTTCCTTTTACGCAGGTTATTTGTATTAAGGAGACTCAGGTCTTAAAAATCTACGGGCTAGCACTCCATCGACTCATACTTCACTCAAGGAAGGAGCGTGCACTGCAGCCTGCACCTTCACAGACTATTTTAAAGGCCATTACTATGCACGTGGTAAGTGGCAATGGCACCCTGTGTTCTTGCACGGGGATGCTGACCCTGCCCTTGCCCTCACGCCCCACAGATTGCCTTTGTAGAAGCAGCCTTTGGATGCACAGTACCTTCCGTTTCTGGTATCGTGTTGCCGCATGTTCTTGATAAAATGAACCTTCTTAAAGTTCTTTGGTCTGGGTGATCCTGAGAGTGTCCGACATCTGAAAAATAAATCAGTTGCGGGGTGGGGGGGGAGGAGGAAAAAAAAAAAAAAGTACTCAGTTCCCTGCTGTATGGCCAAGAAGTCTACACAAAGGCAGGAAGGAAAGACAAGACAAATGATTCAAGTCACCCTGTGTTAGGAATCAGCAAGAACAATAAAGACAGTAAGTCTGGAAATGCGACAGCTCAAATAAAAAAAAAAATATTTAAAATAATAAGAGAAGGCACAATCCCCCCTCCCTTCATGCAAAAAACCACATAATAAAAAAATCTCAGCAAAATAAAACTTCCTGTAATCTGCTGTGACATCTTAGCCCAAGCTTTCAGAGGAAAATAATCCCATTAAACTAAAACAAAACCTGGTAAATATGCGATTTTCCCCCTCACGCCAACATCTACACTTTTGTATCCTCCTCAGCTATTGAAAAGGAGCTATTGAGGAAAGTTCGTTCTTGTTTTAATTTTAGAAAGATTTAAAATCTCTCATTTGCAAGGATAATTCCTATTTGCTTTTAACTCTAAATACTACTTTTTATGTTCCTGACGGCATACAAAACAACAGAAAATAAAATGAATTACCTCAGGAAAAAAAAAAAAAATCATTCTTCAAAACATTAATCCTTAAATCTATTTTATATCTGAACGCACTTTTCAAATTGCAGTTAGTGAAAGAAAGTGCCAGAGGGAAGAGAGATGAGACAAACAGCAATATCCCTGCCCTTGCAGCCTTGCTCTTTTTAATCAGCTGAAACCACAACCCATGCAAAAGCTTCCTCTGTTTCATCTCAGCGCTGTTTTGTTGCAAGGCACGGTGCGCAGGCACCACAGATAACTCCTGCGCTCGCTGCGTGGCCAGGGCAGCTGGACCGCAGCCGCCGCATCCTCTGTGGGAGCTAAGGGACTGTGGGAGCTAAGGGACAAGCATCCTCCGCCGGTGCACAGAACCAGCACAGTCCCTCTGCGTTGAGCCTCTGTAACCCATTTTTCCTGTTCTCTCCTATGCAAAGGCAGAGTTCAGCAGCTTCCTGACCCCGAGAGGTCCTGTGTTTGGACTGGCACCACAGACCACCAGTCCCAAGCCACTAGGGACTGCCTGTACCCAAACGCCACCACCCTACACGGACACACCCCGGAGTGGGGGGAACCCCACCGCTTTGCCATTTCTGCCTATTCCTGTTTGTAAAACCCTCAAGACTGTCTCACCCTCTGTTTCCAATTAGCCTTGTTAGCTTCTTCACGGGAAAATACCACCAAGAGAGAGGTTCTACCAATAACTCTGCAAATTAGCAAGTAAAAATACTGCCTCGCAAACCATACTTTGTTTAGATCTTTTGCCAATTATACGCGTTTGAATCATTTATGAGAACACTTCATAACATGATGGTAAGCATTCAACAGTAAGCTTGGTAAAAATAATCAAGCCTTGGTAACAGGCCAGTTGGTACAGCCTCTGCCATTAAGTCTTTGCTCCGAGGTGGAGAGAGACAGCCAATCTGCACGTGGATAAACAAGGCTATAGGCTAAACATCAATACAAACCAGCTGAATTACAGGTCCCAAGATAAAGAGACACTCAAAATTTAGCTGCTGCCTTGCCGAACAGCTGACCTGGAAGTATAGCACACACCGCTCAGATTACTGAACAGCCCGTTTCTGAACTGTTAAGCAGTTGCTCCATTTTCCATCACCCCAGAGGATTGCCTAGTGACTAATTACTGCGGTCCCCAGAGAAGCTGTGGCTTCCTGGATGCAGAAATACAACCGCATTGAAGCTGCTGATATAGCAAAGATGGGGGCAGATTTATTAGTGAGGTAGCAGTCACAAACCGACCAGCCAACACAGAAAGACAGTAACACTAGTTACGAAAATAAGCTTGTGTGTGCTGAGAGAACAAATGACAAAAACACTTGAAAATAAGAATACTAAACATACCAGCCTTCAAAAGCTTACTTTATTAAACCAGCTGTACTTACTTTTTAAAGGTACTATGTTAGAGGCTGGTCGTTCCTGTTAGTGACAACTAAACTTCTCTCTTAATCAAATCTGACCTTTTATTTCCTGACATTTTATTTAAATACTGACTTTGTATTTAATAACCTAAAGCCAGAGAACATGTAATTCCTGTCAGCTACCACCTTGCAGGGTGTGTGAGGTTTCACTTCGCCCACTATGAAGAGCATCTTAAGGCGAACACCTAGCTACTTTTCAGCACGCGCAGGGACAGCAAGTCTGTCTATGCATGCACTGTACAGACGAGTAACCAGAGAGAGTAAAGAAAATTACCTCCGCAGTGGGGCATTTTCCTCGATGTCCTCCAGAGTCTCCAGAGAAGATCGCTGAGAAATCAGCCGACGTCTGCAGAGAAAACAGAACACAAAAGATCACCGTGGATTAGAGGGCACGAGGAAGTCCTCAGAGATGTTGTTTAATAAAGCTCACAAATTGCCGTTCACTAGCCGAGCTGTAACTTTGGATATTGATAAATTTTGTTCTCTTCTGCTTGTTTTCCTAGATCTATTTGACCCAACAAGAAGCAAACTTACTCCATATAAGCTTCTATAGCAAAGCAGAAGTCAAAACCTCCCAACAGCTCCTCCTCAGTTTGTGCTTTCAGGTTTTCCTTCCTTCAAGGGTTTAACACCCACCTAACACCAGTCCCACATTTGCTGTGGTAAAGCTTGCCATGCTACAAGTACAGTTCTTTGATAAAATAATGCAGAGGCAGATCTACAGAGACTGCCCGTTCTTCACACTGCTGCAGGGGACACTTCTCTCTGCCCCTTGCCCTTTTTACCCAATAAATGCCACTCATTTCTCAGTGATGTCCATCTCATCACTCCTCCAAGGAGTGACTCAAGAGAGACTAAGGATGACGGAGCCAGCAGCACTGGGTACAAACCAGAAGTGTAAAAGGGAGCTCAGCACAGATGAGTTTACTCATGTTTTAAACCAGTTTTCTATGGTTGAGTCAGATCCCTCCTCTACCGTCAGTCAGATCCCTCTTCTACCTTTTCGGGGCTGGCTTGCTGGAAAGCAGCTCTGTGGAAAGGGACCTGGGAGTCCTGGTGGACAACAGGATGACCAGGAACCAGCAATGTGTCCTGGTAGCCAAGAAGGCCAATGGCATCCTGGGGTGCATCAAGAAGAATGTGGCCAGCAGGTTGAGGGAAGTTATCCTCCCTCTCTACTCTGCCCTGGGGAGGCTGCATCTGGAGTACTGTGTCCAGTTCTGGGCTCCCCAGTTCAAGAAGGACAGGGAACTGCTGGAGAGTGTCCAGCAAAGGGCTACGAAGATGACGAGGGGACTGGAGCATCTTTCTTATGAGGAAAGGCTGAGGGACTTGGGTCTTTTTAGTCTAGAGAAAAGAAGACTGAGGGGGGATCTTACCAATACTTATAAATGCTTAAAGGGAGGGTGCCAGGGTGATGGGAACAGTCTTTTTTCAGTGGTGCCCAGTGACAGGACAAGAGGTAATGGGCACAAACTTGAACATAGAAAGTTCCATCTAAACATGAGGAGGGGCTTCTTTACTTTGAGGGTGGCAGAGCACTGGAACAGGCTGCCCAGAGAGGCTGTGGAGTCTCCCACTCTGGAGACATTCCAAACCCACCTGGATACCACCCTGTGCAACCTGCTGTAGGTGACCCTGCTCGGGCAGGGGGGTTGGACTAGATGGTCTCCAGAGGTCCCTTCCAACCCTGACCATTCTGTGACTGTGTGATTCTGTGAAATAAAGTAAGGGGATCTTTGTATTTCAAGTTTTCTGACTGTGTAGTGAGCAGGGAAGACACCTGGTACAGGCTTGGTCTTAGCAGCAATTGCTGCTGCACAACCTCCAAACACTCTGTGGTGGGTTGACCTTGGCTGGATGCCAGGTGCCCACCAATGCCGCTCTATCGCTCCTTTGCTGGACAGGGGAGAGAAATTATAACAAAAGGCTCGTGGGTCAAGATAAGGACAGGGAGAGATCACTCACCAATTACCATCATGGAAAAACAGCAGTACAAAATGAGGAGCTGCACCCAGCCTTCCAAAAACCACCATAAATACAAAAAATAAATGCGTAAGAAAGATGCAGCCCACCCGCAGGCAAATAATGAAAAATTAAGCCGGCAATCATCAGAACAACCCTATTGGTGGGTGTTAAGCAGCTGCAACAGCCAGAGGAGCGAAGGCGCCGTGCCACAGCACCCGGCTAGCACGGGGGATGTCGGCACCCATCGCTCTTGGGGGCCATTGCTGAGGTGTACAGTACCTCACCAGTGATTTCATGTGTGTGAACTTAAATGATAAAAAGTCCTCATAGACCATCACTATTTTTTCCTGATTACCTTAACATCCTTCCCACTGAGCCGCCTTACTCCCCTGATCTGCAAGTAAAGTTTCCAGAATCTCAGTATGTTATGAGCACCTCCATGCTTGGGAGGGTGCTCATTAATTTATTTCCTGGGCTGTATTTTCACAATAAATTGCTTCCTCTGATGCCAGCGTAAGCAGTTTCTAATCCTTCTTGCAATTTGCTATCCCCTCCAGTTGTGCTGCTACAACTGTTCCTGCAGCCGTGCTGCAAATCTGATTACCGAAATGTTTTTCAGTTCAAAATAACCCTGAGGTTCAGTGATTCAGTTTACTACTAGTTCAAACACCAGATTTCTATCACTAACCCCCAGACAACACATATCAGGACAGTTTGAATGTGTATGCGGCTTTTCGTATACTTAGAAAATCAAAAAAAACCCTCAAACAATTTATAGAGCAACTAAGTGTGAAGCATAATCCTCTTAGGAAAATATGTAAACCTAAATCCCCTCAGGCTTTGTCTAAACTAGAATTTAAGAAGATCTAGTACAAGATAGGATACACGTTCAAAATGCTAAGAAAAAATAAAGAAATCTGCATTTCAGGGTGTGCTGAACTTGTTGGCGTAGACAAGGAAGAAGAGACTAAACATCTATCTCCCGCGCCCACGGGTGCTCCCTCGGCTCCATCCACAGTCAGAGGACACAGAGATGCTCTCAGAGGGAGAAATTCAGACCAGGAGGAGCTCCCCCTCCTTTTCCAGTTACGTTGGTCCATAAACAAAAGCTGGAAGTTTCAACTACCAGCACCACTGATGTAGTAGATGATAGCTGCTGCTTTTTAGTACCTCTTTATACATCATTAGCTTAATAACACACTTAAATGATGGTACCCTCCCATCTTGTGGTGTTACAACACCGAAAGCATACTTTGCGTGTTGTTAGTCAAAGAGAGAAAAACAACAGTACAACCTTGCCACGTTCTTTGTATTAAATTTATCAAACTAGTAACACAGTATTTCCCCTAAGATGCCTGTTGGATGCCGTAAGGCGCTTGTACAACACTCAGTGCAAATATGAGCCACCACCGCAACCCTCCTCCAAGCCTCTCCTTGCCCAAAGTTACCCACCACGCTGCACCTCATTGCCAATGGCTTGGCGGAGATGGGTTTGAAGATTGCAACGTCCCACATTTCCATCTGTTATTAAGGCAGATGCATTGGTTGGCAGAAATACACGCAATGACATTCCGTCAGCTCCAGGGCAGCTTTAAACACTGGTGATCCAGATGCCTGCTGATGGTTCCAGTTCCTCTGGCATCCCTTGCTGGTCATAACTTCTTAAACCCAGCACACCGGGGATGCTGCCTCCTGGTTTTCGTTTGCTAACCTTGAAAGCAACACAGGCTGGACCCCTCTTGGCACAAAAGAGCTCACACTGATTTTCACCAGTAGTGAATTTGTTGTATTTTGGGGACATAACACAGCAAGTGAGTCTGCGAAAGTCTGCTTCTTGGGAGAGGAGCACCGATACCTGAGCTCCATTCTCAACCAGTGTGAATATAAGCACAACTCTGGATAAATTCATCCAGGAAGGACGAAAGCAGATGAACCCACCCAAGATCACCAGCAGTGACAGGTCACACAGATGCCTGCAGTGATACAAATGGAGGCTGCCCCAGCCCAATCCCTCCCCCTGTGCTGGCATTGGGAGCAGTGAGAGCGAAGATACCCGGTCCAGCACCCAACCCAGCTGAGAACTGCCACATCTTTCACCTCTCCCCAAAATCATTAGTTTTAATCAGTTCAGCTCCCTGCACAATCACAGGAGCACTGGTGAGGTGGATTTGCAGCAACTCTGCTGAAATCAGTTCATGCTGCCCGCGAACGGCACCCTCTTTTCACTGAAGAAGCTCAGCCGCACTGGAGTACGTGCAATTATGGCACTTTATCTTAAATCTTTATTTCGAGGCCTAATTAAGATGACCTAAATACCAATATTTATAAGCTTTCCACAGCTGGATATTATACCAGAAAAGCCAACTAATGAACCTACCTGCTGTGAACCAAGTCACACATCCTCTGCCACACACATAGGAAAAAAAACAATTTTGGAAAAGCAAAGCTTTTGGAAGGGTGTTCCAGGGAATACAAGCAAAACCATTTTTTCATTGTCTTCATTAAAAATTAATCACCTCAACTGGTGTTTAATATTTAAACTAATTTATAATCTTTATTTCTGCAGGCAAGCAGTCAGGGCTTGTCTATACAACTTCTAAAAGGGTTATTTTTCAAAAATTGATTAACGTGCTATAGCAGCTGGCATATGGAGACACTTGCACTGAAATAACCCAAACTGTTTTATATCACACACGACCATCTAAAGATGTGTTGATACCTATTTTATAATAAAAAATGTCCTATTTCAATAATAATTAAGGAGAAACTCTTCTATTGTTAACAAAGAGTATCTATACGCAGACTAAACCAAAATAGCACTGTGTGACATACCGGCTTCAGGCTTTGGGATAAGTCTTTAGGCAGACACATTTGCAATATAAAATGCTTTAAATCTTGCGCAGAGTAAATGTCAGCCAGCTGAAACACACTAAAATACAGTTGCCCTTAATAACAAAATTAAAGATGTTTCAGTGAAATGTTAATTTCTCCTAGTTCACAGAAAGCCTTAAAAGAATTCCTCCTAGTTTAACTTCCACATCCTAGGTACACCAAACTCACCCCTCTCTCCCTGCACCCCCATGCACACAGAAGAAAGCAGTTTTCTTCTGGAAAGATGATGACCTCCTAGCTCTAACGATCAGCCCCTGTATGACATTGTCAGTCACAGTCTCATGCAACTTACGGATTTTTTTTTGTTTTGTTTTAAAATCATGTAATACCACTTTCTCTTAAACACTTATCTAAAATACTTTTTTTTCCTTTTCTGTTTCCTCCCTGTTCCCTATGCAATTGTTACATGAGCCCAGAAATAAGTAATACCCTACAATCAAATTCCAAACCCAGTCCAAAGAAGGAGACCGAAGAGATATTTG